GTTAAGGGCACTGCGGAGAATCGGGGGGGTTAAGGGCACTGCGGAGAATCGGGGGGGTTAAGGGCGCTGCAGAGAGTTAAGGGCACTGCAGAGAATCGGGGGGGTTAAGGGCGCTGCAGAGAATCGGGGGGTTAAGGGCGCTGCAGAGAATCGGGGGGGTTAAGGGCGCTGCAGAGCATCAGTAGCTCATCCATCTGGTCTCCAGCTGCCATTTACTCTTATGACTGTGTTTAGATTTCTGCACATACCTTCTGACGTTTTGGCCCCGCTGGTCTCCAGGTGACCTGATGGTCCCTTGCACCGTGAGAATGCCCCTCCAACTGATCCTACGTCACCTTGCTGCGCTTCGCGTCGTCCTGCTCTTGACAGCGTGTGATGAAGGGGACTCCAGAAATATCAACTTCCACAGTCTCAGGCCCCCGGTGGATGGTAAGCATCACCTCATTAGTGAGAGATTGGTCATGCCTGTACAGACCAAAATAAACGCACCATCTATTTTAAAACATCCACAGTGATGATTCTTACACAGACCGGCGTTTCCACTGTAACACCAGTCGCTGTAGTGTACTCTCTATACTCCTTCAAGCTCCTTTGTTATTGAATAAACTCATTGTTATTGAATTTAATTAGAAACACGTGTGTGATTTTTCCAGCCACACCCTTCCCCCGGAGCTTTAAGTGCTTCACGTGTGAACAGGAGTCAGACAACTACAACTGCAACCGCTGGGCAGAGGATAAGTGGTGCCCTGAGAGTGAGTGCTCATGGGAAACCGGGGTCAGGTACCACGCTGCTCTGTCTCTCCCCGCTCTCGCCACACGCTCCCGTCCCCCAGGGGGGAAGGGGGGGGGGGGGGGGTGGGGGCGGCTAAGCTGCCACCCTCACATAGCTTTCTTAACATCATGAGCAAATTGGACTGCGAGATGTGCAAAGTAAAGGCTTAGTAAATATATGATGTCATCTGAAGTCATGATTTTATTGACTTTAGATCATCATTTACCAGTTATATGGGTTTATCGTGTAAATATCTTGGGAGGTGGTCTTGACTATTTTTCTATAGATTAATCTATCGACTATATTATCAATTGCTCTGATTAATCTAAACAGTTAATTTTCCTCCGGAAAATCAATTTGACCATTCAAGTTAAGTTTTCACCGACAGTTCGATAAGCAGATTAGTATTATGCCTAAAATATTAATGAGATGCATATTGTGATGGCCAAAAGTTAATAATCTGTGTAAATTTGGTGCATCCTAATGCATAATATATTTGGTTAGCGGAGTACGCCACATGCAACACGAGATAGTTTCGCGATGAAGGAAGGGACAGATCAGCAGCTACGGCATCTTTTAAAAAAGGAGATACTGTGGTTAAACAAGGTAAAAAGATGTTTAAAAAGATTAAAGTCTGACGTGTTTTTTTTTTTGTGAAAATTGGGTTTTCATTTTTATCTCAGCTCACAAATTATTTTCTTTAGTGTCCATTTTTAATTCAGTTTTAGTTTACGATAACGACACTGGTCCCAACAACTCCAATGCGCACGAACGCATACATTGGCCCTGTCAATCAATGTAGAATATGATTTTAGCCTGAATATTTGTGCAAAGACTTTAGTGGAGATTCGTAGCAGGCAGACAACTCAGGGCTTTATTAATGAGTGTATTTAGCAGCTACAAGGACAAAAGATATTAAAAAGTTTTCCATACTAATTGTAATTTAATTACCATGAATAGATGACACCGTGGTTTTGCCTTTTCTGGTGATCTGGAATAGCACCTGTGTGTTTTCTCTTCTGGTGCTCATGTACCGCGGTATTACCGCCGTGTATCGCACTTTGCACAGTGTAACCACCTTTTTGTATTGTGATAATTTGTAATTTGTGATAATTACATAGTGATTAAAAGGAACACATTTATGATTAACTGAAGCATTTTGGAAATCATAAAGGTAATTTTATTAAAGTAATAAAAAAAAGGATACATCGATTTAAAACATTTTCAGCGCTGACGTCATCGACTACGTTGACTAATTGGGGCTCCCTCAATTACAGTCTTATTCAAATGACTTCACCATAGCCACCAGGTTGTTGTGTCATTATGATTTAAAGGCTGTTTGTTGTGCCATCCACAGACACCGGGTTCTGTTTGACAGTTCATCATTTCAGCAGTTACGGGAAGAGTAGGTCCGTCACCAAGCGGTGTGCAGCCAGAGAGGACTGCCTCACAGTGGGCTGCCGACACCACCGTGATACGGACCACACCGTGAGTCCTCCAACATTGTTTGTGTTAAGCTCCTCCCCCATCAGACTTTAGGGTATTCCCATCCTCGTTAAAACACCTCTCACATGATTTTTATTTCCTCCTCTCCACAATAAATTCCAGGCTCCTCCCCTTGCTTAAGCTCCTCCTCCTGTCTGTGATGCTTTGCAGGAATGCGTATCCTGCTGTGAGGGCATGGTGTGTAACGTGGAGGTCCCAACCAATCACAGCAATGCCGTGCTCGCCCTCAGACACGCCCAGAGCTCATCTGTGCACCTCATTCCTGCTTGGAAGCCTCCATCTTTTGTTGCCTTGGTGACGTTGGCTGTACTAATGCTGTGGTGAGAACTCCACCGTTACATCCCAGGATGCTATGTTGACCTACAGCTAACCCAAGAAGTACAGCACAGGGTCAGGGTTCCAGGTGAAGGTAGAACCTGCGGCCGGCCAATCAGATTACAGCCGCTACAGATGATTGACTGCTGGATCAGCCAATTGAACTAAAGAATGGTGAACTGCTATATTTCTGTCAAACACTGAAAAACTGGGAGCAGGTCAACATCTTCAGGCCCTCTAAGGGAGGGGAGGGCCTTCTCCAAGGCAGTGGGTTTCAGCACCAACAGCCACAAAACTTGAGATCTCCAAGTGGTCCTGCAGGGAAGTCGTAGGACTTCCATCAGCAAGGCTGGTGTTAGAAGAGCATCAATGTTACTTGAAGATGAGAAGAGGACATCTGATAGTGCCAGGGTGTTAGAAATCCAGTGTGCATTACTGCAGCCAATAAAACACATTTAGCACTTTGACAAAGGGCAGAAAACTGAGTATCTGAAATCACATATTTGTTTGCTACGTAGCAAGCAACATATAGATTATGCAACTTGAGAAGAACGTTCGAATCCTGATTTTGGATAAGACAGGAGGTGAACGGTACATGGATGACAAACTACATTCTGTGAAATTCTGAAGTGTGTGGTCGATGAACGCTCCGCTACCCCACAAGGCCACTGGACCAGAGAGGAGGAATTTTGCTTTCTCAGAGATTTGTGTCCAAGAAGGAGGAGGAACTGCCATCTCCGTACACATTTAGGTAGAAAACAATGCCAAGTTCCGTAATTTCACTTTAATACGTATTACTTTCACTATGTCATTTGTAAACATCCGGGTCAAGTAATATGTGAGATGGAAACCACAAAAAGTGCTTTCATATTGTTCTCATGAATATGAGTATTAGGCTTCTAACAACATTCAGTATGTACAATGTAAGCATGCGATTTCAGATGCACACTTAATTAACATGTCCTTTAAAATTAATGCATATAATGACGAGTTCCTAATCCTGTAAGACTCAATGTTTAATTAGGAAACTCCTTAATTTAAAGCAAAATTCTCACCTGTAAGTTCTCAGGAGTGATAACACTTGTAATAAAAGAGAATGGCCTCTGTCTGTGTCAGTTCTTTTTGTGTGGAGCAGAAGATATTATTTTGATCCATAATGCTGGTAAGAAGTTCTTGTGTGGCTCAGATTCCTTAAGGGCATCAGCGCAAATGTTTAAACATTTAAGCTGGAGACGGATATCTGGCCGGAAGTGATGCTTTTACCGAGAGGGCTGTGGATTTTACGCTTTGCTGCACTAAAACAGAGAAACAAACACACGAGCCCTATCTTTCTAATCTTCCTTTACAATGATTTTTAAGACTATGGAATGTTACAAGCCATCACTTGTTGTTTTAAGCTGATTTTGACCTTTCAAAGAAGCGAAATGATACCCGCGATCAGTGAGGGTGTACGGTGTGATAAAATTCCACAACTTCTTCCATAAAACTATAAAAGAAGCTTTCATTCTATTTAGCCACAGATTTTATTCCAGAGTGTTCTGGAGGGAAAAAAGGGGAAAAAAGTCAAAATATTAAATATTAAGCTGTATACACACACACATATATGTTTATATATTGCATTAATTTTCATTTGTAGCTGCTGAATCCGTGTGCTACGAGTAAATGGTTAACAACTGGTGTGTGATAAAAATCCCAAGTTGATGCTAGGTGGGAGGTGTTGTGTCATTTCCTGTCAAACTATTCTGTGTTTGTTCTCAGGAAAATCACCTCCTCCGTAATATCAGCAGCTCCTCCCAGCCCTGTCACATCTGCCTCGGTCTTTTGTGCATGCCGTACCCATGTGGTATCTCCGTGCTTTTTACCGCAGGCCTGAAAAATGAGCAAGCCGTCATCTGTGACATTAAACAGCTGGGCACTGAGAGCCTGGAGCCCCACTGTGGGGGGACACTCAGTTTAAAAGCACTAACTCACCGTCTCTGTGGGGGGTATGATTAGCAGTTGGGTCGTAGTGGGGTCCGCCGGGCCCTGCTGCTCTGAGTGCCGGTGTTGAGGGGCTTGTCCTGACAGATCGCCCTCACCGAAGACAATTATCTTCATCGGGGTTCCCAGAAACACCTCTGTTTCTCCAGGGGCTGTGAAGCCAGCCGCAGTTCCAGGCGCATCCCTCACACTGGGGATGAAAATCGAAATTTTATTTGGCATTTGTATAAATATGAGAACAGGTACGTCTACCTCCATCTTGCCCTCATGGAGTTTGAGCACAGAGTCAGCCATCCATCCAGCACCCCTGGCTATTTCTCTGTGATACTTTTGAGGTGATATACAGCTCCTGGTCAGATCTTCACAAGATATACCAACTATTCCAGTATCTGCTCCACCACATACCCTGATGGAAATGCATGTAACTCAAGTAACCACAGAATGTGTCAACCCAAAGCTTCCACTATGAACAGTCAGGCACGCTCCATGTTCTGGTCCTCCCTTCAGATCACACGTCAAGCCTGTTTCTTGATGGAACGCGGACCCATCACCGTCTCCTGGAAGCTGTCCATTAAAAGCACGTCTGCTTTGCATCAGCTGGCATTAAACCCACCCGCTGTTTGCCGTCTGTTTCCCTTTGCAGACTCTAAAACCCTTACGAGACGACATTCCTCAGGATAGTGGCAGTATTCTCCTGCTAATCAGTTAGCGGAAAGCCCAAACAGTCTATCCACAGGAATGCAAATATGACCTGGCCCTGTGAGGAACATTACATTGTTTTACAGCATCACGGAAGGCGCATCTCCTCATTTCTAACAGGGAAAGTCGACCAGGCTTTGCAGTGACTGCACACATTCCTCCACTACACCATTTGTTCTAGAAAGTTCCTTTTGTCCTGCTGCTAACTCTGGCTGTGCCAAATTTGGGTCCGTACATACGAGCCCTTTGTGAGCGGCTAAAGTAATTGGGCTTCTCCGTCGTCCTCTGATAAATGAACACCAGGGCTTTGGGACAGGGTTCGACGCTAGCTGCATCAGCAAACGACACAGCGGCCAGAGAGGGGCTGCACTTTTGCAGGCCTGCATGAGACGCACTTATATAAACAAAGCCAGCACTATTCTAACAGTGCAGCTTAGCTGTGGGGTGTAAAATATCCTGTCTGCATGCCTCCTTATCCATCTGCCGTCCTTGAAATACATTAGCTCATTTTAAGGTGATAAAAAGCAGCCTGCTCCCCCATTCCGGAAACACTACCCCAGCATATCTATCCAGCGTGCCTCCCAGTGTTCCTTGAGATTAACATTCCATCCCAGGAGAAGGTTTTCCTGTGCTAATTGGGGCTGCTTTTCCAGCGGGATTCCAGCACTTCCCTTTGTGCCTTTGATTTCAGTCATAACGAGCAGCAAATCTGAGCCCCTATGAGCACCAACTGCTGAGATGGATCCTCGAAAGGGTCCAGTGACCCTCATGAGGTCAATGACCCCCCCTTGAGCAATTAGAGAAAGAAAGCAAGGTTGCTGTGTGGCTGAGATGAAACGATGACGTCTTACCAGACAGGCGTGATTTCTGCTGTTCTGTTTCCAAATATGGTTTATAAGATTGTGGAGTTCCCTGATTTGGCAGCAAGTTCTTTCAGATTGATCACTGCAAATGCTTATAGTTTTTACAGTTGATTATGACTCTTGAAAGGGCCGCCAAACCGAATGTTTCCCCAGACAGCCTGCAGGCTCCTTTATTTAGGAAACAGACATTTCCCTTCATGAGGACAGGTGGGCCTGGTCTTGGCTGGCAAGTTCTCAGAGTAACAGCTAACGTGACATTGGGGAGGACTGATGTCTGATGGCCCAAATATGGAGGCCATGACAAGCTTCTCATGCTTCACCAACACGCATTACCCCCGGATCCTTCCAGAAAAGGTAGCCTTGGGCAATGAGACAGGCAGTCCATGACGGCAACAGGACGTGGGTGATTATCAGCAGGTAATTAGGTATGAGGACATGACCATTCAAGTACGACAAGTCCTACCAAATCCCAGAATGGTTGCACTCCTGATTCAGATCCTCTCAGAAAAACAGACCAAGCGTGACTAAAATCTGTGGTAAAATCATTAACATGTCCACCATGTAAAAAAAAATTACAATAGATTTTTATTTGGTTTTGGTTTATACGTGTGCAATTTCCTTGCAGTGTTCAGTTCCTTAATCATCACACCGCCCAATGCTTGTGAGGTGAATAGTCACATTTGGTGTGTGCTTATAATGTCATGTAGTGCCATGATGAGGTGACTTTTGTTTAATGTCCTGGGTGTGTTTGGAATAATTGGTGCTCTTTTTTATGAAATGGACATAAAAACCTGAGGTGCTTGAAGATCCACATCAAAATAACGGTGAAGAATGATCAAATATTCTTTAAATTACTTCCAACAAGTTTCAGAAATAAGGTCTAGATTGAAAGTGAAATAAAACTATACAAACCACAGAAGCCTCAGAGATCTTCTCTGGATTCTGCCCTCCCTGTCTGCTCATCACCTTCATTTATCCTGATATTTCAGTGCTCATGACATCGATAAGAGCTTTCAGCCAGGGAGGTGAACTCCTCCATATTCTCCAAAAGGCCCTTATATGTGATTAAAGGCCAGTCCTTGTTCACACACACAAACACACGCCTTTCTCTGCATACTCCGAGATAACGATGTGTGTGTTTTCTCTTAAAGCCGTTTACCCTTGGCTTAAATAAACAGAGGCCGGGCTCGCCTACATCTCCGTGAGCCGTAGGGCCTCTGGAAAGACAAATGAGAGCCCTCAACACGAACAACGGGCTGGACTGCATCCCAGAATTCCCTGGAAAACCAAAGATGGACAAGGAGATGCCAAGCACAGGTGGAGTAAAAGTAATGACCCCTGGGAGCCCGGTGCCACCCTGCTGTGAAGGCCGTTGTCTCTCTGTCTGATGTTTGTGACCCCGCCTCTCTAGTGGGGGGGGATCAGAGTTTCCCGTGACTGTTTGACTGCCACCCCACAAGTGAGCCCGCTCCCCAGGGTAGATCCAGGTACCAGTCCCTGTCCCCACATGGTGCCTTCCTTTGAAGTGCCAATCTGAATCCCCCCCCCCCCCCCCAAGGCCCTGATGCATGTGACATATGTTGACAGAATGGAAACTTTTAATCCTCCCTTTAGACTCCTAGGTAAACAAGCCCAGACGATGTCTAAAACCCCACTATCCGTCTCAGTCTCGCTGTTAATAGCCTTCTGCCTCGATCCCATGTAGTTCCAAAGCACATGTAGCCGCACAGGCAAGTTTGTCTTGCACCCCCTATCTAAGGCAGGGTGAAAGTTAGCACCCCCTGAGAAGATGGTGCCCTAGGTGGTCGGTTATGTCACCTGACGGGATCCTGTGATACCCTCTGTTCATGATGCCCTGGTGAGGGTGGCTGCTCTGCCATGACAGTCCGATGATGGTCCCATCACCTGATTCCTCACCTGCCCTTGAGAGACATCACCCTACTATATGAGGAATTAGAATCTCTGTTTCTCGGCCACGATTGAAAATAGACATTTGGTTGTTATTGACATAGCAGATGCTTTTATCCAAAGTGACGTACGTATTTATCTAAAGCAGGATCAAACATTACCAAGAGAAACTAGGGGTTGAAACAAGGATTTGAACCAGCAACCTTCTGATAACAAGCACAGCAACCTTATCTGCTGAGCCACACGCCACCCCTGCAGCCAAACTAAAAGAGCAACCCTTCCCTCTTTGTGCTGCCTCTACAGCCCATGGGAAGACTGCTGCTACGTCATAAATGCTGCTGCATCATTCTTCTTGCAAGTTGTGACTGGGAGTCGGCAGATACAGATGAACTGAGGTGCCTTGCCCTCCTGGAGATTTCCTGAGCCCCAAGGGACAGCTGCTGCGCTGTAGTATGCCGATGGGCAGGTGACACACGGCATGCGTCAGAATCACACATGGGATGTGTCAGTGTGGGGGCATGGGGGGGGGGAGCCTGTAAAAATGATTGCTTTGCCAGTGGCATTGCTGTGCAGAGATGGCCTGGGATGTGGGAGTTGGGGGTCCCTGTCCTTCATAAGGAGCAAATGATGTGCCTGGGGCATCCATTGAAGCTTGG